AGGGGAAGGGAAGGAGAGAGGGAGAGAAACAATGTATGGTTGCCTTTCATGCATCCCCTGCTGGGAACTGGCCTGCAGGGAACTGGCCTGCAACCCCAGTATGTGCCCTGACTGGGAATCGAACCACGATTGTCTGGTTCGCAGGCCCATGCTCAATCCACTGAGCTACACCAGCCAGGGCTGGAAGGTGTCTTTTGAGAAATCAGCTGACAGTTTGATGGGAACTGCTTTGCAGGTGACTGTCCCCTTATCTCTTGCTGCTTCTAGAATTCTCTCCTTCATTTTAATCTTGGCTAATGTAATGATGATGTACCTTGGTGTGTTCCTTCTTGAGTCCAACTTCTTTGGGACTCTCTGAGCCTCCTGGATTTCCTGAAAATCTATTTCCTTTGCCAGATTGGGGAAGTTCTCCTTTATTATTTGTTCAAATAAATTTTCCACTTGTTGTTCTTCCTCTTCCCTTCTGGTACCCCTATAATTTGGATGTTGGAACGTTTAAAGATGTCCTGGATGTTCCTAAGCCTCTCCTCATTTTTTTGAATTCTTGTTTCTTCATTCTTTCTGTTTGGTTCTTTCTTCCTTGTGGTCCACTACATTGATTTGAGCCCCAGTTTCCTTCCCATCACTCTTGGTTTCTTGCGCATTTTCCTTTATTTCACTTAGTGTAGCCTTCATTTTTTCATCTAATTTGCAACCAGAATCAACCAGTTCTGTGAGCATCCTGATCACCACTGTTTTGAACTGTGCATCAGATAGGCTGGCTATCTCTTTGTTGCTTAGTTGTATTCGTTCTGGAGCTTTTCACTTGGGCCATTTTTTTTGTTTTGTTTTGTTTTGTTTTGGCGCACCTGTTACATAGTGAGGGGTGGAGCCTTAGGTTTTCACCAGGCAGGGGCAACCCAATTGCTGGGTTGTGATGCTGTATGTGGGGGAGGGGTCTGAGAGGGAACAATGGCATTTGTTCTACTCTGTTTGGGTTTTCATGTTGGGAACTGCTCTGCCTGGTTTCAGGAGTTGTAACTACCCTCCATGGCTAAGGCCGAGTGAGTGATCTCCTGAATGTGAGCCAGAGGGAGACAAAGCTTGTCTCTGGTAGCAAAGGCTGCCTCTGCTTACACCCCTGCTCCCAAAGCATGGTCAATAGTCCATGATGGGTAAGACTCCTCACAGACGGAGAAACCTAAGCCAGACACGATCACTTGGGAGGCCACCATGGGAGGACTTGGGGGCTGCAACAAAGAGGGAGTGATGGACCCTTGCCCTCTGGGCTATTCTGACATAGCCCGAGTCCCCAAGTCCTCTGAGAGAAGTGCTTCCTGGCTCTAATCCACTTAAGCCTGAAAACCTGTGATGGGGGAGGCGGTGCAGCTCCTTGCCCGGCTAGAGTGAGATCTGGAGTAATCGGGCATAAGAAAGAATTCACAAAGTCCCGTGAAGCCTGCTTTGCTAAGAGTGCTTTCATTCATATGTTAAGGGTCCGAGCAGGAAATGAGTATGTCTCCCAAAGTTTCTGTAACCCTCTTTCCTGACAGACACTGACTCAGACTAAGCCCTCAGATTTCTTTGAAATGTTATCTACTGTTTGATCCTTGCTGCCCTGTATTTCTGCGTATGACAACCCAATAAAAGCCCCTGGAGGAAGGGGCTCCTGGCCTTTTTCCCCTGAGAAATTGGCCACCTCTCCTCCCCAAGCAGATTATGCCTTGGTAATGTTTACTTTCATCCATGGTGGACAGGGGACTCGAGGGCAAAGTCGCCCCCACATTTTCAGTCAGTTCCCCTACCTTTCCCAAGCAAACTGGGCCCTTCTGGTGCTGATTCTTGGTGGGTGGGCTTGTGTACATTCTAGGATCCTGTGGGTCTCTCCAACTAACTCCTGTGAGGCTGGGAGCCCCTCCCGGAGCCTCAACACCCACAGGTCTTTTTAATCGGTGTTTTGAGGCTTATTTCCCAGAGGGACCCTGAGTTGCGTGGTCTGTCTCACTCCCCAGTTTTGCCTGGTTTATCTGCATGTGAATGTGGGCCCACCCGGTCCATCAGCCGCCTTGCACACCGCGCACCCCTCCACAGTCTGCCACCTCACTGGGTCTGCCCACTGCCACCCTGTGCCGGGGTCTGCCAGCTGCTGCTTTTTTTGCCTCGGCCCCGCTTCGCCCAGCTGCCCAACTCCACCCCTCCCACCTGTTTGGATGAATGTGTCTATTTTAACTCTTTGGTTGTCGGACTTCCATACAGTTCAATTTTGTCAGTACTGGTTGTTTTTTGTTTCTCATTTTTTGTTGTACTTATTTTGGTTGTGTGAGGAAGCACAGTGTGTCTACCAAGGCCTCCATCTTGGCTGGAAGTCCCACAGGCACATTTTAACTTCAGCGATTTTACTGAATTGTTTTTCAGGTTATTTGTATAAACGTCTGCACTATGTGAGTATTTGTACTGCTATTCTTTCCGTTCCCTGTTTTCTATCTTGATTTTCCTGTACTAATTGCTGGATAACTTCTCCAGGTCTTTCTTGGTGTGCAAAAATGATCTCTCTGGGTATTTCTAGTCTTTTTTAAAAAACTCATTGAGTTTTCTTTTTTTTTTTTTCCTGGGAGTCCTGGGTATTTCTTTAAATACATTTGTCTTTCTTTCCTTAAAAAGCAAATTATTCCTTTCTTATGGTTTTGATTTCTCTATATGTTTAAGAATATGAAACCTCTCCTGTACTATAGTCAATGGCTCCATTTCTTTGAAGCCCCAGGGATCTAATCTCGCTGGTTGACACATCTGTGCATTTTCATGTGGGCTTGTTTCCTCACATCTGCAGTTTTGCAGGAGCCCACACTGCCTGCACCTGAGCCCCACAGAGGCTTTGTGTCCGCGCCTTAAAGGCTGCCCAGGTGTTCCCCTCTTTGTTCTTTTCTTTTCTATTTTAAGATTTTATTTATTCATTGATTTATTTTAGAGAGGGGAAGGGAGGAAGAAAGACCGGGAGAGAAACATTCATGTGTGAAACATCAATTGGCTGCCTCTTGTACGGCCCCAGTAGGGACCCAATCTGCAGCCCAGGCATGTGCCCTGACTGGGAATCGAACTGGTGACTTTTCACTTTGCAGAACAACACCCAACCAACTGAGCCACCCCAGTCAGGGCAGGCCCCCTTTCTTTCTCTTTTCCTTCCTTGCTTCCATCCTTTTTTTCTTTATTTCCTAAGAATTTTGTAAAATTACTGCAAAGATAGTATATTGTAATTCTCTTAGAGTTGCTTTCTTCTTTTTTAGTCTCAATATTTGATTCATTTGTCCTGAGCATCATGAAAAGGAGACCAGGTGAGTCTACCAATTGTCCCCAAGGTTTTGCTCCTGGATAGAAAGCATCCCCAAGGCCCTGGAGCCCTGCAGACCTGGCGACGCCTCTCCCCCGCCGAGTGACCCAGGCCGCTGCACTTTGTCACTGCACTGCTCATAGAGCTGTGGCCAATCAGAGGTTACACAGGCACGACGCCTGGCACGCAGACGGTGCTTAACATGGAACATCCGACAGCGATGGTGACGGCAGGTGCCAGGTAACAACAGAACGCTGGTGCCGACACTTAGCTTCCCCTCTCTGAACTGAGTTGTTATTTTGTGCCCTGTGTTATATCCCTGGAGCACTGGGAAGAGGGCTGGCCTTATGCACGGAGCCACAGTCCTCAACTGTTTTTCTCCCACCTGATGGTGTGGGAAGGGGTAGGGAGGTGGGAAAAATAAACCAAGCAAACCAGAGGAAGATGCCATCATAAGCAAGGCTATCAACTTCAGAGGTGCCCCTGTTCCAACCATTTCCTCCTCCTCTTCCCCAGAGAATGTCACTCTCCTGGCTGAGACGAACCATAGGGACCTGACAGTTCGGATGGCTCTGGACAGCTGGCCAGTGAGAGAAAACAGGGCCAGGCTTGACCACCACCTTAGTCTGTGAGCGCCCCCAGCCCCTTGGGCCACTGCGTGCACTTTGTGCTCATTATTTGCTGGCTCTTGGCTCTTCCACTTGCTCCTCCATCCCACAGGGGCTGGGAGTCTGCAAACTACATTCCCTAGACCACCTTAGCTATTTTTTTTTTAGTGAAAGGTACAGGCAAGGGACTGGAAGACAGGGAGAAGGGAGACACTGTCCCCCCATCCCAAACTAATGGCACCTGTGGCAGGAGCAGCTGAGTTTGAGCTCCAGTCTTGCTCAAGTGGCCGGATCCCAGGGCGGCGGGGCAGCAGCGGAGGCTGCCGGCACCCTGGCAGCCTGAGATGCACAATGAGCATGAACTGCTTCTAGTGAAACCAGCAGGCAGCTTGGGCTCCTGCGTTTCAGCAGTGTTGGTGGGTATTTTAGCCTCGATGGCCTCCTGGTAACATTTTCCATCCAGCCCCAGGGGTTAGAGTGGCTTCTCGCAGTTACCAATGCCTGGATCTTTCAGTCCCTTCAGTATTTTTGTAGAGATCCCCTGGAGTCAACTCCCCATTTTGGAACACTCAGCAGTGACTGTTTTCTGACTGGACGAGCACCGAGACACAGCCTGGCCTTGCCCCACTGCAGCCGAGCGGACTGGTTGCCGAGGGCTGGGTTCCCTGGAGCCTCTGTGGAGATGGCACCCGGGAAGTAAAGGAGAAAACCAGGGTGTTGGCTAAGGAAGAAAACCCTGATCATTTGTGTGGGCACAAAACTGACGGTGAACGACAAGCTTTGGGTGTGCAAGGTCCACATCCTGCTCACAGCCGGGGAAGGGGGGGGAGGGGGCGCGACTGAGACCCTTCAGAGACCCTCCCCCCAGCCCTGGTGTGTCTTCCTGCCTTCACACCCAACCCTGCAGGGTGGGGGCGCATCTTCCCTGTGCTCTGCAGCCCTTGCACAAGTCAGGCTCTGCCGGTGCTCGGTGCTCCAGTCCCACCCGCCCACTGTCTCCCCGCCTGTTGTTCAGTGGGTACGGAGAGTAAGACACATCAGCCCCCCAGAAAACATGCGCAGAGAACTGAGTCAGCCTAAGTCAACTCTTAAATAATTAGTTCCCATTTATTTAAAGTTCCACCAGTCTGTGTACACTATTTATATTAAAAACACAGGAAACAAGGGCTCCTAGCAAAAATATACATTTCCATTTTGGAGATTGTTCAGACACTGAGAAGAGCTGTACTCTCAGCACTAAGGTGGGAGGGGACCCCGGCCCGCACCCCTGGTCAGCTGTGGGGGGGATGGGAGAGGGAAGACTCTTGCCAGCAGGGAGTGATCCTGGGACAGGAGGGCCACCACACCAGCAGAGACAGACCTGGGGCTTGTCCTCTCTCTAGGGCATTTGCCCCTAAGGCTGTAGTCAGACAGAAAGACCCCTTTCAAAGGAGGATCACAGGACCTGGAAACCTGGGCTCTAACCCCAGGTTCTCAGAGAGACCCTAGTCAGTCCCTCCCTGCTCCAGCCAGCCCCGCCCCCTCTCTGCAAAGGCGGCCCGGCCACCCTCCCGCTCAGACAGCACCTTCAGCCCCTTGTCTGCAGCACGGAGGGCACCCGGAAGGGGTCAGGAGGGGCAGGAACCAGAGGACCCTGTCACTAGGGGCTGTGCAGGGAGGGTTCCAGGTGACCAGCTGGGATGAATACCTGGAAAGGGAGGGCAGCAGAGCTGCTGGGACAGACGGATGTCTCAATAAATAGGCTCAGTTCATCCCTGGCACCTTCCCCTGTGAGTAGGTGCTGGGCTGACTCACAGGACACCACTGCAGACCAGAGATCTGGCCCAGCCCTGGGAATGGGCAAAGCTCTGCCTGCCGACCTACAGGTCCCTCGGGGCACACCTGCCTGGGGGCGGGGGCGAGGCTGCAGATAAAGTGAATTCAGTGCTTGTGCTTGAGTGGCGGCTCCAGGAGTGTGTGAGGCATGAGCATCTCCTGCCTGGACAGAGGAACCGTTGTACGTGAAGCCAGGCCTGGCCCCGGGGGAGGGAGGTGACGGCCAGGGCGCTAACAGGCAGGTTGAGGCTGCTGCAGACTGGTGGGCGGGTGAGTGCTGATGGAGGGCCAACCCTGAGAGGCCTGCTCACTGCTTCCCCACCAACCTCTAACTCCCTTGAGACTCGCGCCTCTTCATGGGGGCTCCCGCCTGCAGGGAACCCACCTCCTTCCAGGCTGGGGGCTGGTCCCCCAGCAGCCAGCGCAGGGGCCATCGGCAACACTGGCCTGGAAGACAGGTGAAAAGAACAAAAAGCGTGTTGGTGTGAGTGGGGCCGGAGGGGTCAGGGGGTGCCAGCCTCAGCCTTGGGAGGGCAGACGTCTCAGGGAGGCATCCTGGCCTTCAGGGCAGGGGCCCCGTGACGAGGGGGCCACTGCTGAGTCAGCCCAGGTGCTGTGCAGCTTCCCCAGGAAGCTGGGCCCAGGGCTTAGTGTTTCTCTGAATGGCTCAAGTCCTTGCAGTGCAGACGGAGCAGCACGAGGCCCCTACCCCTGCAGGAGCCGGTCGGTGCAGAGGGCAGGCCCCGCTCCCTTCGCACCAGGGGCAGGGGTGGAAGCGGAGGTCCTGTTCTGTGCTGCTGGTGAAATGACACAAACTGTCTCAAAGAAAGAGAAAGAGGCACACACGGGAACAGGGAGAAAGGGAGGGTGAGGGAGGAAGGAAAAGGGAAAGCCATGGGAAGAAAGAGCAAAGACATTAGAGAAGAAAGAGGAACTGAGGAAGAGGGAGAGGGAGGAAGGGATATCGGGGAGTGAGGTGTGGGTCTGTTCACGTGAGTGTGACCCCGCTGCCCCGGGGGGCAGCACTGGTTGAGCCCTGGGGGGCAGCCAACAGGAAAGTCCCATGGTGGCCCCGTCCCAGCGCTGTCCGCCTGGCCCTGGCTCTCGGCTCCCAGAGGCCTGCTGGGGGGCCTGGGTGAGCCCTTCAGTACATGTCCTTGTAGATCTCCTGGAGCAGGGGGTGCAGCGAGGTCTCCGTCTCTGTCTTCTTGATCCGCTGCATCATCTGGGCGTGCTCGGTGACCAGCTGCCGCAGGTCAGCCATCTTCTGCAGCAGCTTGGGGAAGAGGTACTGGGCGTCGGGGTGGTTGGCGTGCAGGTGGAACTCGAGGGCACGCAGGATGGTGTCCTGGATGGCCTCCACCTGTGACACGTTCATAAGGCCTGGCCGGTCTGTGGGGACACAGGGCAGAGGTGTGGGAGGGAGTGGGCACACCCCAGGGGGTCTCAGAAGGGCAGAGGAGCTCCCTAGCCCACCCCGAGTGGGGGACCTGGCCCAGGGGCAGCAGGCCTCCTTGCTGCGGCGGCCCTAGCCCCATCCTGCCAGCGGTCACCTCGATGAGCGCCCTTGACCCCCGTTTTCCTGACCAGTCAGCACGGTGTCACGGCTACGAGACCCACTGCCTGATCCACAGCCGGGCCCTGCCGGACCAGTGGTGAGGCTCTAGGCAGGCCCCTCAGCCCCTGGCCTGTCCCTCCCCCGTAACCCGGGGACACAGGAGCGCCCGTGCACGGGGAGGTTGTGAGGGTCAAATGAGTGACCAGCTAGGGAAAGGAGCTAGGACCGGGCCTGGCTCACAGTGGCTCTTGGCCTCTGTCAGCATGGTTTGTATTACAATTACTGTGGTGGAATAGAAAATGGTAAAACACAGAAAACTTCGCCGCCACCAGAAACAGGCCCTATCGCCGTGCTGGTGCACGTCCCTTCAGTCTTTTCCCTGTCTCATTTGTACCTATGTAGGACAGAGCTGCCCCGTGCGCAGCCGGTGCCTCGCATGGCCCAGGGCCATCACCACACAGACGCGGCCCCCTGTGGCCCGGGCTCAGGCTGGGCGCCCTACAGGAGGGCCCGGTCCTCGGTGGGGCTGGCTGCGATGGGCCCCACCCTCACTCACCTCCACACAGAATGATGGCCGCGATGAAGAGAGCCAGGTCACTGTCGTCAAGTTCCAGGGCATTGAACTTGACAGCAAACTCAAACTTGGGCTCGATGATATCACTGAAGGGCTTGCGGAGGCTGCGCAGAAACTCACGGGTGACAAAACCAGTGCCGTTGGCCACCAGCAGCCCGTCCTTGTTGACAATGGAGGCCAGCATGGCGAAGATGGCCTCGTGCACACCGTACTTGAGAAGGGTCACCTGGTCGTTGAGGAAGAGGTTGCCGAAGCTGGGGATGCTCTTGGCGAACTCGGTGAGCTCGCGCACAGTCTCCACCGTGGTGCACTGGCAGCGGTAGAAGACGTGCACGCTGATCTCCTTGTAGGGCGGCAGGCCGTTCACCAGCTGCTTCCACACCAGGCCCTTCTCTGCCTGCCACAAGGTCTCGATGTCGTGGATCACAAAGGGCTGAAAACCAGGCCCCATTAGAGGCCGGGCGCCGGGGACCCCGCCCATGTGCTCCCCATGGCCCCTGGCTGGACAGCGGAGCTGGGGAGAGAGGGGTCTGGTTCTCCCAGGAGTTAAGCAGGCGGCCGTGGGGCCTGGAGCCAGGGCGGTGACACTCACCGCCGTGTGGCTGGTCTTGCCGGTGAGGATGCCGCGGGCCTTCTTTTTGGTCATGTTGAAGTTTTTCAGGTAGGCGTTATAGATGTGCTTGGAGAAGGCCTTCAGGTCAGCCACCTGTGGGTTGTGCTGGCTCCCCTCACTCGCCGACAGCCCCGCCACCAGCTTTCTCTTCTCGGCCTCCGGCATCCGGCCAAAGCGGATGGCTGCGTGGGGAGCGGGGGTGGGGGGAGGCAATCGTCGGCAAGGAGTCCACACAGGTGCCAGCCCCTCTGACCTACTCATCCCTCTACAGGTGCATGGGCCAAAGATGGAGACACAAATTTTAAGCCCAGGGCCCCCAGAAGCTCTAGGGGCAGCAAGCTGGAATGTTGGGGAACCCCTCCAGGATGGAAGCTCTAGGGGTGCAGGGACTCAGCGTTCACAGTGCACGGCACACAAGGCCCTGACTCAGAGCGACTGCCCCGGGCTGCATGGTGGCTGGGAAGACGGCCTGCGGCACCAGAGGCCTGGGCTCCAGCTCGGCAGCTCGCCCACAGCCCCGTGACTTCAGGCAGGCTGCTTTATCTTCTTTTTTCATTAGAAAAATGGGGCTGACAATTAAATCTCACTGGCTTATCATAACAATTTAATAATTCCCACTGTAAGCACTTAAAAACTGTAGTCAGTAGTAAGGGAACAGTAAACAAGCCCAGCTTCTCTCAAGAAAAAGGGAGAAGAATTCAGTCAGCGCTGAGGTCTCTGGGAAATCCCCTCACTTCAGCCAAGGAACGGGTTCAGGGGGGATATGCACTGAGGGGAGGGGTCAAAGCCCAGACCTGCCAGGGGCCACCTCCTGAACAAGCTGCAGACAGCTCACTCAGGTCCTGCCGCTCTCCAAGACACAAGGCAGTTAGGGCATCCCCAGGTGAGGACATTTAAACAAGAGGCTCCCCCTGTCCTCTGGGGGTCTGAGTCAGAGGGGCAAAGAGGGGGCAAAATCCTTCTCTATGGGGTGTGAAGATAAGACTCTGCAGGAGGCCGAGAGCGCAGGGCAGACTGTCTCCTAGGAGTGGCTGCCCCCAGGAAACTCCTGCCTGGCTCCTGGCAGCAGAAACACCTGGTCACTTCCTGGCTCCCACTTGCCCTCAATAACCAAGAAGCCCTGAGGGGATGCCAGGCCTTTGTGGTGGCCTTTCATGCTGTGCCAGGCCACCCGAGACAGGCTTGAGGTCCTGGGGACGGTGTTTCCAACAGCAGCGGGGCTAGCGTCAATTCCCACTTCCCTCGGGGCCAGAGAGGGTGCTGACTGCCCTGGCCTGGGACCCATGGCGGACACTGGGCAGCCCAGGGAAGGCAGATCTTGGGCTGGTTTGTGCTGGCTCCAGGACTCAGGGTCCAGAACAGCAAGGTCAGCAGCTAACACTTGGCAGTGCCTACGGCGTGCCAGGCACAGCTGGGGCGCCCCCTTTTTGGGCTCCCTGAAATGGGCTTCAAGCTGTGCAGAGCCAGCAGCCCGTGCTCGCCCAGGTCGGCTCTCACCATTGTGCGACATGCCCAGCGCCAGGCATTTCTGGAAGCGGCAGTACTGGCACTTATTGCGGTTCTTCTTCTGGATCTTGCAGCTCCGCTCACACTTCTCATATTCCAGCTTCATGCGGATCGTCCGCCGGAAGAAGCCCTGAGGGATGGTGCACGGGGGGGGGGGGGGAGGAAGAGCCACAGGGAAGGGGAAACCTGAGGGTCTGCTGCCCACTGGGGGCCCCACTGTGCACACAGGTGTAAAATTCCTAACATTTGGAAGGGGTGGGGAGTTTTTTTGGAAGCGAGTGGGAGGTAAACAACACACATCTATGCTCATCAGGAATCCCATAGTTTCTTTTTTGAAATAGTTAAAATAAAATGCCACATTTACTTTAAATGTTTCTTTGTTAATTTGGTAACAAGCTATATAGTAACTAACTTGATTTATTCCTAAATGTAACTGGTTCTATGTATTTTTCTAGGTTTAATAAAATAATGTGACATTTTGATGGGTGTGCACTTAGGAGGAAGAACCCAAAAGCACCACTGAAAAAAGAAATGTAATGATTCTTTTTTTTCCCTCCTCAAAGAGCTCCCTTCAGGCTTCGAAGGGCAGACACCCTCCCCCCACCTCCCACCCCAACCTCAACCTGACCCCTGGAAGGCTCAAGAAGACGCCTCAGCCCAAGCCCCTGGTTCGGTCCACCTGTCTTTTCCAGCCAGGTCCCCAGGGGGCGCACGCAGCCCAGGGAGCTTAGACGTGGCTGGATCAGCACTGGAGGTGGCCGGCAGGGCAGCCCTGACACGGGAACCCCACTCTCCAGCAGGCCCCAGAGCGGGAGGCTTGAAACGGCCCCGGACCCTGGCTGTGGCCCAGGCAGGAAAAGCCTTTTTGGCAGGTTAACTTACCAGGTGACCACAGCCCTGCCGGCTGGCCGGCACACCCGCACTGCCCATACCTTGCACCCCTCGCATGCGTGAACGCCGTAGTGGAAGCCCGATGCCTTGTCCCCACACACGCGGCACTCCATGTTGAGGCTGCCGCACGAAGCGCCATCACAGCCCGTCTGCAGCTGGTCCAGCAGTGAGGGCGGGGAGGAGCTCCGGGAGAGGTCTGCGGACACAGTGTGGGCGCTTCACCTTCTGCCCGGCTGGGCCGGCGCACCTCACTCTCACGGCCTGGGCTCAGCCAGGAGCTGTGTGGCTGTGGAAGTCAGCCTTTCCGAGGACGGGTTTCTTCCTCTAGAATGTGGGGTTAGAGACCGCTTCTCTAGGAGGATGGCAAGTTCCCAGAGCATCCCCCAGAGCTGACCGCAGCAGGTGTTCCCCAAATGGTGGCTACTACTGCCTGGGGAGGTGAGAGCCTTCCTGGGCTGAACTCACCCTCGGGCAGGAGAGGGTGTGGAGGGACGGCTGTGACTGGGGAGGGCCAGGGGGAGGAAGCAGATGGGATCTCTTTATTTTTATTTTATTTTATTTTATTTATTTTTTTAATATTAAATTTTATTTAGTTACTTTTCAAGTACATTTTTTTTTAATCTATTTCTCCCATCCCACCCCACCCCCCGCCCAGTCTCCCCCCTCCCTCCCATTCCTCCCCCCCTCCCAGTCCTCATCTCTGTGTCATTCATACTTGTTCCTCAAAATCCCTCCCCTTTTTTTCCCCTTAAGTTCCCTTCCCTCTCCCCTCTGGTCGCTGCCCACTTGTTCTCTATTTCAGCGTCTTTGTTTTTATTCTGTTTGCTTGTTTGTTTTATTCTTTAGCTTCCTGTCAAAGGTGAGATCATATGGTATTTGTCCTTCAATGCCTGGCCTATTTCACTCAGCATAATGCTTTCCAGTTCCATCCATTATTAAATTGTCCTCAGGAAGTGGCCCTGTTGGGGTCACGTGGAATGTTGTGCAGACAGCAGAGCGCAGACCTGTGCGAACGCCCTCCACCCAGGAGATCTGATTCGTGCACAGACTCCAGAGATGCCGGCAAGGGGTCCAGCCCAAGGCCCAGGACGGCCATGAATGGGGCCCAACACGAAGTCGTAAATTTACTTAAAACATTGTAAGATTGTTTTTGTGATTACATGTCGCAATGTATTTAACATGTGGCCCAAGACGACTCTTCTTCCAATGTGGCGCACAGAGACCAAAAGGTTGGACACCCCTGCAGGGATCTCCCAAGAAGCTCAAATTCATTCCCATGAAACTTGCTCAAGTAGAGCGAGTAGGTATCAGTCACACTGACTGGGAAGGACACTGAATTTCCACAAGTGTTTTTCAATTAAATGTACGATGTTTGAACCAGGTGCTGAGTGTCAGCAAGGAAAGCAGCTGGCCGTGGCAATGGCTTCAGGGCATATATACCGACAGGTGGCTTGGTAAGAACTGCTGGGAGCCTCTCCTGGATCCCTGCCTTGGACACGCAGAAGTGTGCACCTCCCTTGGAAAGGGGACCTGCACAGGCCCCCATCTCCTGGCCACCAGCCCGGGGCTGCAGGACCCGCACTGCCTGTGCTGCCTCTGCCGTGCTTGCCTGCCGATTGGTCTGCTGTTCTCTGCTCTCCTCCCTGAGGACTGAGCAACACCCTCAGGGGCAGGGTCCGAACCTCAAACCAGACAATCGGTAGCTTAGAGTGGAGAGCTCTAAGGAGGGCCCAAGCCATGGCAATAAGCTCAGACTTAACATTTTCTGCTCCGAAAAAGAGCCAATTTTTCCTCACCACGGAGTAACCTCCAAAGTGCACTCCACTTCTACATCCCCCGTCCCCGCTCCAGGTCCCAGGGGGGACGGGAGGAAAGCCTCCTGTCTGCAACAGGCCCCCCAGGACATGGAAGGGGAGCATAAGCACCAGAGCACAGCAGAGGACCCGGCAGACAGGGCAGGGGTAACGAAGCCCCAGTTCCTAAAACGGCCCGCCCTGTGCCACAGCCCCAGCCCCCAGCCTCCAGTCATCCAAGGAGTGTACTCCACCCCGACCCCAGCCCACACACGGGGGAAGGGGCAGTGGGCTCCGAGACTGCAGCCTGGGAGGAGGGGGAGGCCACTTTGGACTGCTCAGAAGCCTTTTTTGGATAAATTTGAAGATTTTATTTATTTAGAGAGGGGAGAAGGAAGGGAGAGAGAGGGGGAGAAACATCAATTGGTTGCCTCTCACACACCTTCAACTGGGGATCGGGCCCACAACTCAGGCATGTGCCCTGACTGGGAATCAAACCCACAACCTTTGGTTTACAGGACAATCCACTAAGCACACCAGTCAGGGCTGCTCAGCAGGCTTTGATACCACCCTATGGCCTGTGTTTCCACAGTTCTGGCGCCCCCACTAGAACGTAAGGACCTCAGGGCAGACACTCAGTGACTGTGGAATCAGTAGTCCTTGAGCTGCCAGGGCATCCTGGCCTCAGCACCACCTGGCGAGGGGGAGCGCTGCCACTCCTGGAGGCGTTAAACTGGGGCAGTGGAGGTCACAGCCCCAGCTGGAGGGAGGAGGTGAGGTCACGCAGAGACCCTGTGCAGAGGCTGGCGCAGATGCTGGCCTAGGGGGTTCTGGCACGGCTGTGTGCATGGGCACTGTTCCCCTAGAGCTCCAAGCCCCTTCCACAGGCACCAGTCACCTCAGAGTGTTCCCACTTTCAGTGCTTCCCCGTTCTCCTGGCCCCGGGGCTCAGCAGGTACCAGTCGCTTGGCTGCTCTTGGTGCTGCGTGTAGCAATGCCACCCCCTCTTTCCATTCAGCAGACATTTGATGGGCACCTGCTGTGTGCAGGGCAGGACCCAGACCCTGCCCTTAACTGGCTGAGGTCAGAAAATACAGCATACCGCAGCGAGTGGCCACGCTGGCCGGCCCAGGGGCAGGTGGCGTGGTGCAGGGCTGCACAGGAGCCACCACCGGGCCTGAGGTGGTCAGGGAAGGTGACTGCCCCCCTCTCTAGCTCAAGCGCATGTGCTCTGGATGAACTCACAGCCGGCTTCCAGGCGCTCAGAGACAGCAGTCTTAGAAGAACATGGCTCGGGAGCCATGCAGCCCGTCAACCAGGGTCCTGTGCTCACCACCCAGCTCTGCCCTCTGCCCCTCAGTTTCCTGCTCTGTCAAAGAGCGGTGGCCATTGTGTCTGTCTCAGGGTCGCCTCACCGTGAGGCACGCAGGAGTTAATACAGAGAAAGCTCTTGGACCTTGGAAGTGCGTGTAAATATCAGTTTATGAGGGGGACCCCCAAAACCCAGAATTTATTTATAAAAAATTATTTATTCTGTGCTCGCTTTGGCAGCACATGTACTGAGATTGGAATGATACGGAGATTAGCGTGGCCCCTGCGCAAGGATGACATGCAAATTCGTGAAGCGTTCCATATTTTTAAAAAATTATTTATTCTTACATGTTTAAACTTCAGTCACCTTCAAAGTTCTCTCCATTTGATGCAATCAGTACATGTATTGAGATTTTTTTTCCCCACTGCTCAAAACAGTTTTTGAACTCGTCAATTTTGATGCCGTTTAGTGCTCCTGCCATTTTTTGTCTCGCTTTTTCCACATCAGCTAAACATTTCTCTTTGAGGACTTTTTTCACCTCGGTAAACAACAAAAAAAATCGCTCAGGGCGAGATTGGGTGAATAGGGAGGGTGGGACACGGGGGGTCACGCCATTTTTGGTCCCCGACTGCTGTACACTCAGTACGGTGTGGGCAGGTGCACTTGTAAATCACCCATCATGAAATGGGCAAGTGCATAGAGTCTTCAAAAAAAAATTCACTCTAGCCAAATGCAGCCTCTCACACCACCACCAACCGGCACACTGGTACAGACGGGTTCCTACAACTCTCACCTAGCGGGGGAAGCCTGCACTACAAGGGGCCTGCACTCCAGATGATAAATCTGGGTTTTTTGGGGTCCCCCTCGTAAGTTCAGTGATGCTCACTAGAAAGCTGCGATCCTGCAGTTTCCCAGTGGTGTGCCCCACACAGGCAGGGACCATCCTCGCCTCTTCTCTTCCTTCTGGTTCTCTCTCTCCCCCCACAGCTTCACAGAAACCCAGGGCGTGTGTATGTGTGGAGGGGATATCTCTCTGCTTATGAGACCTGGAGCACCCCCAGGACAAGACCTAACCTCCTCTCGTGTCATCTGGCCTGCTGCTGGCCCCGGGCTCAGGGGCGCCAGGACTACCCCAAACCCTGGAAGAAGCCAAGATGCCCAAGCCCTACTAGCCACTTAGCCAAAGCTCTGGATGGTGAGGAGAGAGCCGGGGCAGGAGTCACAGAGGGGCCCCAGTCAGTGGGGCCCCAGGAGATGTCCTGCCCCAGGTGGTGGACAGGAGCAGGCTGCTGAGCTGAAAGCAGTCGGAGAGGCAGGGGAGGGAAGGTGCTAGGGTGAGCAGAAGTGTATACACCCCACAGGGAGAGCTTTTGCTGTGGACTGTACTGGGGATACTGAAGTGAAGGTAACAGGAGGATGAGTTTTCCAAAGATAAAGGTTCTGTTTCTCCCCAATTAACCACCTGGCTTAAGGATTCACCTTCAAACCCCTATCACGTTCTACCTGAAAGCAATGATGGCAGGGTGGCCCCATTCTAGGGACCAGGTTCTGAAGGCCCCCACGAGCTCCTAGTGAGATACTGGGGTTCCAAGACCCTCCTCCACACCGCAGACCCCCTGCCTTGGTGCCCCTCTGCGTGCCAGGTGGAAAAGACCCCGAGCTCGCCGTTTAAAGGCCGTCTGCCTGCGCAGCCACTCTCTGCAGCCAGCCGGGCACCCTCCCCTGCTCTCAGGAAATGCACTTGCTCACCCTGCTGGCCCTCACATGGGCCGTAAGCCCCGCCTCTGCTACTCTGTAGCCACATGCTGACCCCGCCCCACAAATATCTCCTACCTTTACTACCCCCAGGAGAAGAGGAGAAGGGACCAGCCATTATGGGTCACCCACTAAATGCCGAGCATGTTACAAGTGTCTGTATGCCTGTTAGTATCATTTCACGTCACTTTGGAAGACAGTACTGCACCATGTAAAGATGAGGAAACTGAAGCTCCGTGTGGTTATGGGATCTGCCCAAAGTCACCTGCCTATACCTGGTGGGACTGGAACTTGAACCCAGACCTGAGTCACCTGCAAAGGCTGTGTGTCTGCACCAATCGCGCCTCTCTGTTAGCATGTGCCTGCCATGTGCTAGGCACTCCACTGGACTTTATATTATTAATCTTGTGAACCTCAAGACAACCCTTCCAGCAGGTCTTTATACCCCCATTTTACAAGGAAAAAAAGGGGGGCTCAGAAGGCTAAGTTGCATGCTGGCAGTGGCTCTGATGGTTAATTTTGTGTGTCAACTTGGCCAGGCCATGGTTCCCATGGCACCCAGGTTTTGGTCAAACACCAGGACAAATGTTGCTGTGCAGGTATTTTTTATATGTGATTAACATTTAAATCATTACTCTCCATCATGTACGTAGGCCTCCCAAAGGAAGAAGGAATTCTGTCTCCAGATTGCATTTGGACTTGAGCTTCAGTATCAACATCCCTCTGGCCTGTCCTACAGAATTTCAACTTGCCAGCCCTCACAAGTGCCTGAGCCAATTCCTCAAATCTCCCACTCTCTCTCTGTTTCTCTCCCTCTTTCTCACTCTCTCTATACACACGCACACACACCCACACCTATTAGTTCTGTCTCCCTAGAGAACCTTAATACAGTGGCAAAGTGAGACCTGTGCCCAACCCTTGGGGCTGAGGTCTCACCCTTGCACTCTACAACATCCCGTACTTACAAACACGTGTTCACTACCACCGACCAATCATTTGTGGTTATGATCAACAAGACACGCTGCTGCTGACCGTGACACTATGCCATTATTCACTGTTTGGACTCAGCATAAACACTAGCCCCTCACCCAGAGAGGAAAGGATCTCTGATTACAAATCCGGCAAACGCACTGCTGACCCTGCTGACGTCGCTGTGCCTGGCTGAGAGTGCTCGGCCTATCTGTCTCCATCGCTAGAGGCTTGCTGTTGTCAGCACTGTGACGGGAGCCAGGAGGGCAGCCTTCTCTGTTTACTTTGCTGGCGCAACTCCACAGGCAAACAGCTTCTGAAGCCAGGGCCGACTCTGCAGGACTCGGGGGCTGGTTACCCAGCAGCCTCCTTACTTTGGTTGTCCTGTCTGCCTGGGCTGTGGGCTCCTCAGGGCAGCTACCCAGCCTGGTCCTCCATTGAATGGCTGCCTGGGTACCCACCGAGCATTTGCTGAGTGAGGGGAGCTGCCGAGGCCAAGAGGAAGGACATTGTGTCTTCTCAGCCCCACGCCCAGGCCCCCAGCCTCTTTGTCAGTGTGGCTGGGACGTTCATCACTGGAGCAGGACGGGACGAAGACAGCAGTGGGCTGTGAGCACCAGGTCCAGCTGCCCCTGCCCCTTCTCTCCCTACCCAGCTGGGGGACCCTGGCCACGTGAGTTTCCTTGATGCTGAGTGCTAACGATGAGGCCTGTCCCGCCTGCCTCCCTGTGGGAGGGGAGGAGGGCTCCGGCAGCTGCGGAGCTGGGTACGGAGATGCACTTCAGTGCAGAACCTCTGGAGTGTCAAGGGCAGCAAACCGTGCAGCCCTCCTTCTGTGTCGGGCTCCAGCTGTGTCCGCCCTCGCAGGTCTCTGAGGGGACTCCAGAGGTCCAGTGATACATTAACGGGGCGAGGCAGGGAACTGGCAGGTGCTCAGACCTGTGCTGTGTCGGACAGCACCACTCACTGCTCACCTGGCTGGCCCCTGAGGCAGGCAGGACGCAGCCTCTGCGGTGGAGAGACTGTGGCGTGGACAGGGCCGCGGCTCACATGGCCGGCCTGGGACTCTGCCTGCTGTGTGTGATCCCTGACACAGACAGGAGGAGGAGCTGCTCCAGTGCCCCTCGCCTGCTGGGCTTTTTTAATTTTTATTTTTTTAACTTTTAAAATAAAAGCAACATAATTGCTTTTTAAAGTATGAGAGTATTCCAGGCTTGTTGGGAAAAATGCATAAGGGCACAGGGCGTCTTATGACAGACCCTCTACACCACGACCCCTCCTCCGAGTCAGCCCCTCCCCAGTGCCTTCTCGGGCACAGACGGGTTTTTAAACAATGGGATCCGCAGTCTGTCGGGAACTTACTTCCCTGTCAGCACATACAGACCCGCCTTCCCCTTTTTAATGACTGGAGCATCCACAGCGCGGCTCTCCCACAGTTCACACGCCCAGTTCCCACAGACAGGCACTGTCCTCTTTTTGCTTTTTGAACAGTGCTGTGGGAAACACAGTGAGCGAGTGTTTACAGGGGACGTGCTCCCCAAAGACTGGGGCCAAAGGAACGCACACCAGCAGTGCTGGCTGCTGCCCAACTGCCTGCACCCCACGGCGGCTGCAGGCAACACCGTCCTCCCTGCCACCCTCATCTGGGGACATCTTCTTTGATCGATGAGTGGACTGGAAAATGTTTCATGTTTTCTAGCCATTTGCATGTGTCCTACTGAGAATTGCCTGCTTGTATCTTTCTGTCAGGTGGTTTGTCTTGTAGACTTTGTGGGAAATTTTACATATTGTGCCTTTAACATGTAGTGACTGTTAACCCTCCTTTTTAAATTACTGAAAGAGGAAGTCCTTCTACCCCCACTTCACTGACTTATTGATAAATGGAATCTCTCAAATATGGGTGGCTGGGCAAATTCTTCCCCAGACATCTCCCCATGTGCCCTGAACCCCACCAATAAAAGTCCCTGGATGCCATCACTGTGCCCACGGGGCCCTGCCCAGGCACCGAGGTGCCACACTCTGGCCTGCATGGGAACAGCAGCAGCACCTGGGGAGGTGGTCCCCACAAGGGTCTAAGACAGGACGTCAGTCTTCAAGCAACTTCTGTGTGCCTGGGCCCAGATGCAGGGACGGGGTGGCCCAGGGCAGGCAGTGAGGCCACAAACCCGGGCCCTCTCTTCCCTTTCACTGTCTCTTGATGTCTTCGGTGACATCACTTGCTCATTCTTAGCTCTCAGGGTCCTCTCTCAGGGTCCTCCCTCCAGGTCCTAACCCTCCTCACCTGTGTCGGGCTCAGAACGGTTTGTTGTTACCGACGAGTGACTGACCTCTCCTGGCCGGGTCTCCGAAGCCGTCCCAGCCAGCAGCCAACCAACAAGGGGGAGGCATTTCACTGGGGGCCCCACCAGCCTCGAGGCTGCCTTCGAAGGGAGGAGTGTAATTTTAGGACTGCATAAATGTAACTACTCCTCAACTAGGTCAAGGTGCTGGGCCGGAGAAAACAAGGTGGAGCCTGTTCAGCCTGTGGGGCCTTGCGTTTGCCACCTGTGCTCTAGGGGATGGGGAACACCTTCTTTTGGGTCCTAAAATCACATAAGCCTACTGTGGTCACTCCGGGGTGTCTGGGTGGGGTCAGGGGGCCCGGGTGACAGCTCTCCCCTCACTCTACCGCACCATGTGCCCCGAAGAGGAAGAAACTCTGCAAAACCCCAGGACTTGCTCTGCAGGTTCAAAGCAGCACAACTCAAGGATTCCGGGCTCTTTGAGGTGCCGGCCCAGAAAGGAGCCTGTGCTACCTCAGCAGCATCCCGTCCCCCATCTCAGCTCGGACACCATCCACCTCCTTCTCCCCACGCAGGCACAGGGGGTCCAGGGCCCGTCCAGTGAGACAGGCCTACTCCTCTGCTCGAACTCAGCATCTACGGCCAGGATCTCCATCAGCTGAAGCCAGAGGCCAGCTCAGGGCATCCCCTCCTGGCAGTGCATCCTGACCCTGAGGGTCCCCCTGTAGGAGGGAGCAAGGAACAGCTGGATGCGATCCACTCAGGTAGAGGGAGAGAAGAGCAGCTGGGAAGACGGGGCCGGGAGCAGGGAGAGACAGGGGCCGAGAGAGGGGGGCTGGGAGCCCTTGCAGGTGGTCACAACCTCATGATGATGATGAGGAGGAGGAGGAGGAGAAGAGAGTACAAGGTACCAGAGGAAACATCTACGCTGTGGCTGACAGCGGACAGATAATGGGGAACCAACAACTGAGACGAGAGAAGCTAAAAGCTGGCTGCACAAAAGTATTATTAATTATAGTTGTTCATACTAACGGCTCAGCACTTTGTCTAATCAGAGCGCAGCTCGGTCAGGTGTATAGCCAGCAGCAGATCGGCTGAGTCGCACGTTTTGAGGGATCACGACAATCACAGGTACGGTGACCTTTTTAGCATGTTACTGTTGCAGTGCAGCTGGGTCCCAGATCCCTTGTGGCAGTAGTGGAGCGATGACGACAATATGCATGACACATGCTAATCCAGGTCGTTCTCACAAAAGCCCAGGTACAGACCCATCACATCCCCTACGAGCCCGGCCTGTTTTACAGAAAGAAGAGGGTGGCTTGCCCGAGGCACTGCCGCTGATGAGCACACGGCCGGGTGCGAGCCCAGGTTGCCCGGCTCCAGGTCTTCACCACTCTGCTGCTCTGCACTCCCATGAGGCTGTGTGCGGGAGGCCGGCTTCTCTGTTCTGCCCGGCCACGTCCCTCCGTGCTGCGTCCCCACCCACCCCTCCTCACCTGTACAACTGCTGGAAGGAAGCGAGTGCTCTGGTCCTCCATTGAGCTCAGGGGCTCCTTGGGTCTCTGCCACTTCTTCTTTCTCCTCCTCTTCCCGGACCTCAGGGGCTTCCTCCGGTGGCTGCTCCATGGTTGACTTCCCGTCGCCGCCACGCCTGCAGGCCAGGTCATAGCTCTGGCATCATCTGAGTCTGAACGCAGATGGACCTCTACAGGGCAGCTCCCGTCGGCCTGGCCAATGGGAACGACAGAAGAGGATGAGATGGTGGTGGGCGTGGGCCAGAATTAAGGTTTACCATCTAAGGGACCCTCTGGGAGTTCCCATTCTGTTGCCTCAGAGTCACCCCCCACCCTTCGCCCACTGGGCTCCTGCAGCAGGTCTGTGGGACTCAGAGCACTCTTCATCAACCAGCTAGGGGTGACACCCCCGTGGCACCGTTCCCTGCCTCCTCGGGGGCACTCTGCTCTTTGAGTCCCTGAATCTGCAGGAGACACATGAGAATGACTTCGGGGGCTTTCAAAGGCTCCAGTTCCCCGGGAGATCCTGACAGGTGTCACGCCTCCCAGCCCCTGTCCTGTCCCCACCAGTACTCACACCCAGGAACCACTGCTCTCCGAGGCCACCCTTTGTGAAGGGAGTGTTAAAAGATAAAAGACAGATAGTGTTAACAGATAAAAGACATGAGCGCATGCTGGGCTCAGTCACGAACGACAGCAGACCTGCAACCAGCCCCTCAGTGGCAGAGCCATCGGGCACGGGGAAACGTCCTCTGACCTGGAATCTTCCCAAAGGTGGCTACTAGATGGTGACCACCACGTCTACAATCACCCAGGAGGAGACGGTTCCCACCCTCAACAACCAAGATACTGCCCACAAATGCCACAGTCATCGGTGCTGAGATCCTGAGGTGCTGTGGGAGGGTCTTCCCGGCAGGGAGCCGAGGAGATGCCCAGAGAGTAGGGAGGGTCTTGACCAGGGGCGGTGCATGGGACGCCTCTTGGGGATACAGCTTGAGAAAGGACTCGGAGGCAGCACAGTGAGGAGTGGTGTGGGGTCCTGTTGGCTGGGCAGTGGGTTGCAGTGGGAGAGAGGAGCTGATGGGATGGCTGGGAAGACGGGTTGTACCCAGGCATGCGCTTCAATACCTGGCCCTGGGAGTGAAACTGAACTCTGCCCCACATCAGGGCAGGCCTAGAAGGCTTAGGAGCAAAAAATACCTGCTTTACAGAGATTCCAGCATCTGTGGAACCCTTCTCTTGGATGTCCCCACATAGCTCAAATGCAACCTATCCCAGCAGGAACCATCATCTTCCCCCAAACCTTTCCTCCGTAATTCCTACTCTAGTGACCCACACGCCCATCCACCTGCTTATCAAAGCCAAAAGGCAGGAGTCACCTGCCTCTCTCTCACCCTGCCCTAGGCTTGCAAATGTGGCTACACTGGAATCCTGGGGAGTTTTTATAAATATGGGTGTCTGGGCCCATCCCCCAAAATCCTCATTTAATTGGTTTGGGAGCAGCTTGGACACTGGTATTTTTATTTTAATTCCCCTGATGGTTGTAATCATTCCTCTCCAACAGGACTTCACCGTCCCCTGCTTGGATGGACACAGGACCCTCTCAGATGGTCTCTGGAAGGCAGTTTGGAAACTCAGCCCTCGACTCTAAGAGCCGGGGAGCTGGGAATCTGTAGGTCTGGGGGCACCCTTGCTGATCCCAAGAAGGGATTCAGTTCACCAAAGGAGGAGGCAGTGACACCAAGGAAGGACAGAAGAGGCACCGGGGCAGACAGTGGGGCAGTGGGCGGAGGCAGGAGAGACGCAGGACAGCCTAGTGTCTCAGAGCCACAGGAAGGGCTGCCTTTCGGGGGAAGGGGTCAACCAGCTCAAATGCTGCCGCTTTAAGGGTGATAAACTGACACCACTGGATTCAGTGACTGTGAGGCCATCGATGACCTTGTAAAATAAGTTTCAGCAGATACCCTGACTGGTGCGGCTAAGTTGGTGGGCACTGTCTTGCAAAGCAAAACGTTGCCAAGTTCGATTCCCAGTCAGGGCACATGCCTGAGTTGCAGGTTCAGTCCCCGGATGGGGACCTTGGGAGAGGCAACTGACAGATATTTCTCTTTCTCCCTCCCTTCCCTTCTCTCTAAAAATAAATAAACAAATAAAATCTTTTTAAAAAATCCACACCTGAGGGTATATCGACAAGTTTCTGCCGAGTGGTTGTGATGGAAACCCAGGCTCTGAGGACTGGTGGTAGCAAGGAAGCCGGGACAGTGCGTGCAGACTATTCCCCGGTGACTACACCGGGGAAGGAGATTTGTAAGAGCACACTAGTTCCCGGGGAACTAGGTGGGGAGGCAGCAAAGCCAGGAAGAGGTTTTTTAGAGTAGACAGAACTCGGAGAAGCTGTGCACAGGGGAGAGGTCTGTGGGGAAGGACGATCGGGAAGACGGAAGGAGGGGAAGCCAGGGCAGAATGACCGATGGGAGGGGACTAAGTCAAGGGCTTGGGATGAGGAGAACACAAGAACGCAGCCCAGCAGTGCGTGAGGGTGGGGGACGCTCACGTGGTCTCAGTCTGACAGTAGAAGATGGGACTTGAAGAAGGTGAGGGCTGGGAGGAGCCACTTTGGCAAACACGATAGGGAATTAGCTGGAAGGAATAAAAAGAATTATAGGAAAGTTACAATAAGCGAAACAGTGTGGTACTGGCACATGAATAGGTAGTCAATGAAGGAGAATGCAAACGTCCTTAAGTAGGTGCGAACACACACGGACCTTGAATACGTCATAGACACAGCCCTGCAAACCCAAGGGAAAGGCAGGACTGCAATAAACAGTGCGCACCGGGGCAAGCTGAGGAGTCGTCTGCAGAAACCAGGCTGGACCCTACCTCACACCTTCTGCCAAGATGAGAACCACACAAATCCAAGACTTTACAGTTAAAACAAACACGCACAAACTATATAAACAGCTCTGAGATGGGGCAATAGCTAAGCATGACACTAAACCCGTAAAACTTTATGAGTTAAAAGATTATGAGTAAAGCCTGGCTGGTGTGGCTCAGTGGATTTGGCGCGGGCTGCAAACTAAAGGATCTCGGTTCAGGTCCCAGTCAGGGCCCAGGCCTGGGTTGTGGGCCAGGTCCCCAGTGGGGGCCATGTGAGGGGCAACCACACATTGATGTTTCTCTCCCTCTCTTTCTCCTTCTCTTCTCTCTAAAAAAATAAATTAAAAAAATCTTTAAAAAAGATTATAAGTAAAGATTAATAAATTTGATTACAAAAAATGTAAACTTCCTACACGGTAAAAAACCACCAGAAGAAAAGAACAGACAATAAATTGAGAAAAGTGTATGCAACTCTCATCAGACAAAGGGCTAGTTTCCCTAAAATAGTTCCTACAAAGTAATAAGCAAGAGACCAGCAGTGGGTAGTGAAAGGCGCCAAAGGAATACAAGTGAATATAGAAAAAGGACACCTTTGGCTCATAAACGTATGCGCCACCTCCACATCATCCATAAAAGAGGAATGCAAATTAAAACAACACTGAAACACACTTTTCTGACCAGATTAAAACAAATGCTAGCACGCTGTTGCCAAGCACACAGGAAACAATCTCACATCCCTGGTGAAAGGTAAACTGGCACAACCTCTAAGGAGGCTGATTCGGCTACAACAACCCAAATTACAGGCACACATTCCCTTTGACCCAGAAATACCCCTTCTAGGTTGTAGGCTAAGCTACACTTCCACTTGAGCAAACTAACACAATATGTTAGTACAAGGTTATTTATTACAGTACTACTTGACTAGTAAGAGGTGGGGAACCACCTAAAAGCCCATCCATAAGGGACTCGTTAAATAAATCATGATACAGAAACATGGAATTCTACACAGCCACGAAGAAGAACGATGACATTATGGACTGGTAATGAAGTCAAATATACATGGAAAAATGTCAAAGGTACCAAGATACCATAAACAGAATGTATAATTTCCAAGTTAATACAGTAGAATGGGAAAACTCAGGAAAGGTCACGCAGAACTCCTGCTCTCTGACTGAGAAAAGCCCCCCAGACAGGGAGCCGTGCAGACAAAACAACTCAGTGCCATGTAGGGCGGTGGGTTGGATCCTGGAACAGGAAGAGGATGGTGGTGGAAAAACTGGTTAAGTCCAAACAAGCCCTGCTTACTGAGTTAATGGTATTGGCCGGTGTCCACTTCTTAGTTTTGGTAGGGGCACATGATGTTTACGTCAAACGTTAATGCTGGGGGGGCAGGATGACATCCCACTGTGGACAACGGGGAAGGAGCCCGGTCACCGTGGCTCTGCGGAGCTGCTGAGCTGGCCCCGGAAAGCCCACCTGCAGACTGCCTGTCAGGTGGGAAAACAGCGCCTGTTTTACAAGGCACCGTGTGCCAGATTTCTGGGCCCGCAGCTGAACACCCTCCTAAGTGAAACAGGATAAAAGGTCACTTAGCCAAAGAGGAGAGTGGGGCTGTGGGGAGGGGTCGGTGACAGCGCCGGGAAAGGAGCAGTCCGTGGCTGTTGTGGTGTGTATTAAACTATCTAAGTAAATTAGCTGCTATCCAAACAGCAAGGACCAGAGACAATGACTCTTCATGTTGCACAGAATGGAAATGTCTGGAGGTGGAGGAGTCTGGGGCAAGTGAGGGAAGGGATACTCTCAACCGGCCCTGCGGCTGACAGGCCCCGGGGGGTTTCTGAGGAGCAGCATCAAGAGGATGAGCAGCACGGTGACGCAGGGCCGGACGGCACAATGTCCGGGAACCATGAGCACAGCGGCGGCACTGGCCACACGGAAAGTGGGATGAGACTGACTCGACAGAATGCTCTGTTTGGGATCCATGCAGCTTGGGTGCCAGTGGACACTGGGAGAAATGCACACCAGGCTGTGGTGAGGAGAGCAAGGGAGGGGGGACATGAAGACTTGGGGGTTCCCCTAGTAGGTGGAAACAGAGGAGAAAAAACTACAATGCTATGCATTCCCGAAGACCCTCTCAGTGACCGTGGGAGATGGCACCGAGCCCATAGTCAGGACCGAATCCTGGAGGATAAGGGAGGAGCTGGTCTCCACCACACACCAGGCACCTGCCGGGTACACGGCAAAGAGCCTCTGCTCACTCCTCACGAGCGGAGCCCTGTGAGCGCCCCTGGGCTGATGAGAAACGTGACAAAGCGTGCAGGCCTGCAGAGCCTGAC